CCCAGGTTCGAATCCACCTGGTGGTGGTTACACATGTACACACGTATGTCCACGCACCTCAGTTCAGGCCTTTATCTTCTTTTTTTCTTGTGTGGCCCCCAACTGAATTTTCTGTGGGTTAGTGGCTCCCTTCCCTAAAAAGGTTTCACACCCCTGGTTTAGTCAAAGCCTTACCCTGATGATATTTCCTGCAAGCATGCTAATACTAGTTGTTGAGATGTAAGAGAGTAATTTGCTCACAGAGACTCTGAAAAAAACATTAGGGTCATAAACTGGATTACAACATGTGGCTTTAATGTTCCTTTATACAAATAAATGTTGTAGTGTGCTGTAGTGGCCAAATGTTTACTGTGGGTAACAAGTATGATATGGTCATCTGAAATGACTAGAACCTGATTCTCCTCTAATTTCTATTACTTTTAAACCTGTGTAACTCCTTTAACTGTAGTGAATTCTAGGGATGTCAGTGGTTAACCAGTTAACCCTTTTCAAATGATGCTTACCAGTTACTGGTTAACCAGTGACCCATTTGGGCTGGATCAGCCTCTCCCCTACACAACATGGGCATGGAGCTGCTCCCTGCGGTGCGCCTAGCCTGGCCAGAGCAGCCTGCCACACCATGGGTGGGGGGAAAGTTGGCGATCCTGCCCCATTTAATGGTTAACTGATTAGATGGAATTTTACATCCCTAGTGGATTCTCTTGATTTACACCAGCATAATTAAAGGATTCAAGCCTTTTCTGCAAAATTCTGAATTTGTTAGGATGTATTATAAAACAACTGTCGCATTAAGATGGGCTTGCAAAAAGCAGAAAAGAATGATTGCTGGGTCCTTTTATTTTGGGGGGATGGTTGATCTCTGTGATATTCTGGAAAGAAACCCTGTGAACTCTGGAGGTGATCCTGTAAAGACAAACTTTTAGTTAAGGCACTGGGCTGGAATTTATGAAATCTGGTTGCAACTATCAGCTCTGCCTTCAAATCATAAGTTTCCCTTCTGAGAACTGAGGAGAAGTTATTAGCTCCTGCAAGCCTCAGTTCCCCGTCTTTAAAACTGTGTTAGTTTTTTTTTTTCTCCCACCTTTTGTTGGTCTTGTGGGCTTAGGGCTAGATTCTGGTACCTTATGTCCCATATTCCATAAGAGCCTCCCCTTAACTTGACTGATTCTGCTAAAGTAGCACGGCTGTTCAGTATGAGTGTGGAGACCAGAATCCAGAGCTTGATTTGCAAGCTCTTCTCTTCAGAACTTCTGCTTCTTATCTGTATAATCAGTACACAATGGGGCTCATATTTCTTTTGGAGTCTATAAATCAGGACTCTCAAACTCCTGGTCTGCGATCCAGCCACTGCTGCCGCAGGGAGTGAGGGAAAGCACAACCGCTGTTACCACGTAGCACCCCCTCCATTGATTCCCAAAACTGTGTGCTCAGGGGACAGGGTACCAGGGGACAGGAGAGGGAAAGGCTGGGATTTGGGGTTCAGTAATAAACAGCCGCCGCCCTCACCTGCCAGCAGATTCAGCTCCGATTGTGCAATCGCTCCAGCTAGGACTGGCCTGCAGGCCAGGAGTTTGAGACCCCTGCTTTAGATAGACTCTGCTGTATAAAATACCTCATCATCATCGTCATCAATTCTGCACTATGCTACAAAATGAACAATTTGGATTTTGTCAGGCCGTGTGAAACAACCACCTACAATTTTGAATTCACCCCATATCAAAGATAGGTACAAGTTTTAGAATTGTCCACAAGCATCAGCCCATGTTCATGTACTTCCTTATCCCATACCTGGCTAACATAGTTACATCTTCATAGTAATTCATCTGAGGCAGCTGGCAGTGCACAGGCTGGGAAACTGCAGAACTGCTTGCATCAGGTGGGTAACCTCCTTTTCAGGTGTGTGTAGCAAGCAGACCTTAGTTTATGACCACAGGGTTGCTCTGGAGTAATACACTGAGCTTTTAGACATACTTCCTTGTTTTCTCATCATAGTCAGCTATTAAAATATAGTAACTATGCCAGACAAAATGGGTTTTAGGATATTTTCTATCCAGGGTTTTACGTTTTCAATTCCTGTGACCATTAATGGAAGTTGTATGTTTAACTCCCCTGTGCATTGATTTGAAATAGATCCCTCTGTGTATAAATAGATATATCCAGAAGCAGTGTTACACAAAGCCTAGAATTTCATTATGGGAAATTAATTCAGCCTACAGCATGTCATATTTAAGACAGGTAGTTGTGAGTTCACAATAATCCATGACATTTCTATGATCTTTTATGTATTTCAGTAGCCCACAAAAACCTTGATGTAATTTTTTGTTTTAGGTCACGTATTAGTAGGCAGTGGCTCGTTCATTTTCCTCTCCTGAGTAATTTAATTATATCTGAGCATAGTGGATTTTTCTGAAGTTATAAGGATACACATTTTTTTTTTATTTTTGCTGCAGGGCCATATATAGCGAATATTCATCCACACAAAAGATTTTACTATAGTTTTCCTCCCAAATAGGAGAAGGTGACAGATTAATAGACCCCAATGGAAATCTGACTGTCTAGAACTCTGGGGAGCAAGCAGAACAGGAGCATTGGGATGCCTTGAAAGGATATTGAAAAAACTTTAAAAATAACAAATAGTCTTGCAGCACCTGAGAGACTAATAAAAAATGTCGATGGTATCATCTGAAGAGGTGGTTTGTGCCCATGAAAGCTCATGATATCACTGACAATTTTCTTAGTCTCTAAGGTGCTGCAAGGCTAATTGTTGTTCTTTAAGTTTTTTTTCAGTTACAGACTAACACGGCTACCTCGCTGAATCTTTTGAAAGGATATTTTGAGCACATAATTCTGTCCTGCCTCAAAGGGTGTGGTTCGACACGGTTGCTGACATTTTTATCCCTTCTGATCCTTGCGTGCCAGGTATATAAGAAATAACATTATGGTAGATTTTGTGTAGAGTTCTAAAGACAATTGGATAAAGAGCTTGTGGCAAGATCACCCCCACCCCCTGCAATAGTCTAGTCATTTATATGTAAAGGAAAGTTTCTTGATTAAGACAGAAGATAATTATCCTGGGCCAGATCCTCCCAACTTCATTCACTCTTAATAGTGCTTTATTCTGTGAGTTGTCCCAGTGAAACCAATGGTGCTACTTACAGAGTGATCTATTGCTCATCGTGAGTAAACCTAGGTGTTTCCCTGTCTAAGAATAAGAGAAACATTTTTTTCCAAGGGATTTGGTTGGGTTCCTATTACTTTTATTTATAGACACTATTTTTGAAGTTTGTTTGGGCCTGAAATTTTCCAACACAGCTGAATTCCAGAGACAGTTTCTATAACTATAGGTGACAAGAGATTTCCTTTCAGTACAGGTTAATAAAACTTCTGTAAGTAAATAAAATAAAAAATAGTTTTTCTATTTCTGAGGAACTGCAAAGAGCATCACTGTAGAGCTACTGAGTGAATTTCAGTTTTACGAGTTATTTGTGCTAAGTTATGCAAGGACCAATTCTGCCAATTTGCATAATACCTTAATCGCTTAGTAGTGTTATGAATTTTAAGGATACTAGTTACGGTGTATGGTACTATTCAATATGAGTTAGTGTTGGAACCTGACCCAAATTATGATTTTTTTTAAAAAAGGGATATTGGGGTCTACTTAAGTACTCAATAGACTGTATACCCTAGATAAGAATGGCCATACTAGGTCAGACCAATGGTCCATATATAGCTCAATATCCTTTATATTACAGCATCTATTTGCTTGTTTGTTTGTTTTGTTTTTTTGTTTTAAACCAGTTGTCTGTTAATTTCATTGAGTGACTCTTGGTTCTTCTGTTCTGAGAAGTGGTAAATAATACTTCCTTATTAACTTTTTCTATTCATTATTTTATAGATCTTCATCATATCCCTTCTGTGGTTATCTCTTTTCCAAGCTGAATTGTCCCTTTTTAATCTTTCCTCATATGAAAGCTATTCCATACCCTAATCATTTTTGTTGCCCTTCTCTTTAGTCTCAGCTATACCTTTGGGTAAAAACTTGTTCTTCTCTTGTCTATAGTCCTGTTAGCTTCATGGGGATCAGTTGAGCAGAAACTATCCTTGCAGCTTTAACATCTCCCAGCTTACCTTCCTAAAAGTTTATCATTATTTATTCTGTCTGCAGCCCCATAAAATGGAATAGCCCCTGACAGAGAAATAAAAGAAGAGGATAGAAACTCAGGAGCTGCAAGTTGTCATAACCCATTGAAATAAATGGGGAATATTAGGACAGTTTGAACCATCTGAGGATCTGCCCCAAGGTCCCAGTCTTGGGGTATGTCTACACTACCCTGCTAGTTCGAACTAGCAGGGGTAATGTAGTCATCCGCAATTGCAAATGAAGCCCGGGATTTGAATTTCCCGGGCTTCATTTGCATAAAGCCGGCCGGCGCCATTTTTAAATGCCGGCTAGTTCGAACCCCGTGCCGCACGGCTACACGCAGCACGGAGTAGCTAGTTCAGATTAGGCTTCCTAATCCAAACTAGCTATACTCCTCTATGTCTACACTACCCTCCTAATTCGAACTAGGAGGGTAATGTAGGCATACCGCACTTGCAAATGAAGCCCGGGATTTGAATTTCCCGGGTTTCATTTGCATAAGCTGGGCGCCGCCATTTTTAAATCCCGGCTAGTTCGAACCCCGTGCCGCACGGCTACACGCAGCACGGAGTAGCTAGTTCAGATTAGGCTTCCTAATCCAAACTAGCTATACTCCTCATTCCACGAGGAGTACAGCTAGTTCGGATTAGAAGTCTAATCCGAACTAGCTACTCCGTGCCGCATGTAGCCGCACGGCACGGGGTTCGAACTAGCCGGCATTTAAAAATGGCGCCGGCCGGCTTTATGCAAATGAAGCCCGGGAAATTCAAATCCCGGGCTTCATTTGCAATTGCGGATGACTACATTACCCCTGCTAGTTCGAACTAGCGGGGTAGTGTAGACATACCCTTTTTGTTTTTAAATGTATTTTATTCTACATCAAAATGGTACATAGAAGGCACTCTTGTGGTAAGCACTGCACAAATAATAGGTTCCCTCTCCCCCCTCTCCCCCAAAAAAGAAAAAAAAGGCCCCTCTTCTGTCTAAGTATTATGAGAGAAAGAAGTGGCTACAGCACATGGACAAGAAAAGCACAAGGTACCTGAGGCAGCTGTAATCAACAGGACAACCACTGGTCACAGCACAGCATCTGTCTAGTATGCTCTTTGTAGAACACTTCAGAAAGTAAAAGAGGGTTTTGAAATAGGACAATGAAGTGGCTTTACAGGTGTTTATAGGTATTTTTTACTACAGTGGGGGGAAGCAAAAGGGCCATGGGAGAAAGGGCAGAATGGGTTGGGCTGTGGTCCCAGCAGAGATTAAGAGCTCGACCCCGGCTCCATTGAGGGCCATGGGGAGGGGTCTGAGAGCAGCAAGCAGGGCTAAGGCTATTCTCCCTAAGGGGAAGCTTCATCCATCATCCATGCTGATGGAGGAGCTATGTCACATTGTATTTAATTGTGTGAGAATCAATGGTTCTATTACAAACTGGGTATTTTGTTAAAGTCAGGTGAATTCCAGGGATTTGTTCTTCCACCTATCTTATTATCTTACCAGGAGAGACTATGGCCCAGCTACAACTAATAGTAGAATATCTGTGTAAAATCACAGAATCTGTTCGACTTCAGATCCATAATAATGAACCCAAATTGTGGCTATTATACAGAGATAAACAACCTGCTGAAACTTAATGCAGATAGCAATGGCATTAAATGGGTGGAAAGTGTTACCTATCTGGGTAAATGGTTAACAGCAGTAAGTTCTATATCCAAAGACATTATATAACTCGGCTTGCATCAGTGGAATTTCAGCACCTTCAGAGGCCTCTGTTCGGTGTTGGAATGTCTGTGACAACTCAGATGTGTGTGTTCAATGCTGTAGTGATGACAACTCTCCAATGTGATTATTAAAAGTAGCTGAGGAGAGGAAACTAATCAGTTTTTAGTGTCTAAAGTTCTAGTATATTCTTAATGTCCATCGCTTTGATTGTGTCACTAGCAAGGATATACATAGATGATCTTGGTTAGCTGGAGTCTTTCACCAGTTGAGAACTAGATGAGTGCAATGGTGGTCATATCCAAAGTGCAGAAGAAAATTTATTCAGAGTAGAGGTGGAAGAAAGTAGAGCATGAGGCCAATCACAAATAAGGGATTTAAGAAATCTAAATCCTCCTGTGTTGATTCTTGCCTAGGAAAGAAGACTTGCAAGGGGCCATTCATGATGCAATCCATTCTAAACAACACTATTGCTATACCACAGCTATGTAAATCAGCTGTGCCTTTCCAGCATAAGATGAGACATCGGGGAAAGGAAGGTGCTTGATAGAAAATGTAATGAAATATCGTAAAAGCAATTTCTCCTTCATTTACCTGATAAGCTCTGATTCTGAGGTTCTGGGACATAGTTTCATTTCTTTGCACCACTTTTATGCCGGTATGCCTCGAGTCATTTCAAAGGAGATATCCTCAGTTAACACTATGGTAAAAGAAAGGAGAATCCATCCATCTGTGTTTGCAGCAAGTGCTATTTTACATATTTGTGATAAGCGAGGAGTAAATACCATTGTGTTAGTGATTTTGCAACCTCTTGCCCTGTTTTTATTTGCACAGAATACTAAGAGTAGGTCTGCACTGTAGCGTAAGCATGGGAGATTGGTAACTGAGTCTGACATCTGGTTTGGCCTGGTCCAGATCTGAACAGCTACGTTTGAACAACCTAACCCTAACCCTAAATTCATGTATCATCTGTAATCACCCATGTGCCATGTTGGGACTTCTATTGATTCTTAGTAGGGATGTTAAATTTCAATTAATCAGTGAATTGTCCACTCAATTAGTTGATGGGGGGGCTACTCGCTATCCCCACTGCACCTCTGCCTCTGCCTTTGAGCTCTTGCTACATTTCAAAGGCAGAGGCATATCGAGGAGCCCAGTGCGAGCAGAAATTGAAGCAGTCCCGGCTCATGCCAGGTTCCCTGCTGCACCACTGCCTTCCCTGTTCACCCTCCCAGCCTCTCGACACCACAGAGACAGTGCTGGGGGAAACTGGCTTTTAAGCCAGCTACCCTCAGCACTAGCTCCTGCCCACCCTCCTTTCTACCTCTGATAAAGGCAGCTCCTGCTCATCCCGCTCTTGCTTCCTCTCATACAGAGGCAGTGTGTGTGTGTGTG